AACAGAGGTCAATCTGAATTGAACTTATTTTGAGCTTATGAACGCTGAAGCGGCTTCAATGGAGAATTCTGAGTGCGCTTCAATGGAGGAGAGAGAAAGGTGGGCGGAAGAACAGAGGAGAAGAGAGAGAAAATGGAAGTAAGGCTGACCCTTAACCATTATTATTGGGCTTTATATTTTAATTCTTAAGCCCTGTCCATTAAAAAATAAGACCTTATAAAAGCCCTACAAAATAAGATCCTATAAAAGCCCTGTCCATTAAAAAATTAAAGGGTCAAAACCCTTTGATATTAGGTCCGACCCTTTTGCCATTGGGTAGCCCAACCCAATAACCACCCCTACACATAACTCATAAAATCAAATCATAATTTCCCAATTATAGTAAAATTATTACCTCCATTAATCAAATTTTTCGTCTACAAAAAAATAATTACCTTATATAATGAAATTATAGTACTTTTATATATTACTTATATCAGTATTGATATTTATGTGTTCACGCACGTATCGTGTGCAAATAAAGTCTAGTTATTATATAAGTGAAAGGGGAGGCTGTGGTGTACACCTAAAGAAACCATAACACTCATCTTCCTTTTAAATTTGATTCAAGATAACTATAAAAGAAGTCAATTAAAAAAAAAGATTAATTAATCAACAAAGAAATAGGGAGATTAATCAACCAGCAAAGAAAAAAGTAAAGATTAATCAATTAGCAAATAATTACATAAATTAAAAATCAATTACTTGAATTAAGTCCATAAATAAATAAATATATCTAAATTTATTATATATTATAAGACGTTCCTAAAATTGCCTTTGTGCCACGTGTACCCTTTCTTACACCAATATCACTCCATATCATCATTCAACAACCTTAAGCATCACGCCACATCATCAATCAACAATATAATCTTTATTCATGAGATCATAAAGTAAAAATGCATATAAAGATATTTGAACACCAAAGCTTATTGAATGAAAAGCACATGCACGTATTGCCATATCAATCCACACTTATAGATAAATACATATAAGAATTAGAATGTAGAATAAAAACAATTTAAAAAAAATCCTAATTGTTGTCACTGTATTCTAATTTACTCACAATAAAAAAAATTAACAGAACTTTTAAAGCATCATATATAAGAAAGAAATCATTCAAAGTATCGAAGTAAAACCTGGGTCACTAGTTACATTATATATATTTTATGTCTATACAATCAATCGATTAATAAATAATTCTGCATTTTCAATCAATCAATTAATTTGTACAATCAAAATCATTATAACTATACATATTAGTAAATTTGATATTGTTTTATACTCCGCATTAATATTGATGTTCATAATATTGTCAATCAAACTCATACCATCTTTATTGTTAATTGGGGTACCAAGCCCAACAATCCACATTCATCCTTTCATATTCATGAATAAATATATTTATTTTCATATAATATTTTATCTTTAACATTTTCTCGATTATATATGTGTGACAAAATCATATAAATAGTTAAGATAAATATTTTTTAAATTATTACATGATGCTTGCATATAGGGTTAATTATTACTTGTATTATTATGGGTAATGATACGACGACATATAAACATTAAATAGACTTTCTAAAATGGAATAAAGATGGAAATTTATGACAAAATCACGTATTTATTTATCCTCAATATTTTGAAAGGATACTCTAGTTTATCTATGTGATAGACAATTTTGGTTTATCACATGACATTTTGGTATATAAATCAACTTTATCCAGTCATCATCGATGGCGGAGACAGTTTTTATTGAAAAAGTTGTTGATTTATTTACAGAAATGTCATGTAATAAACAAAAAAGGTTTATCTCAGAAACAAAGTTGTATTTTATGATATTCTTTATTTGATTTTTATGAGGAAATCTAAGTTCATAACCAAGGGAAACCTTTGACTTTTTAACTATAAACAATAAGGAGACATTTGTCATTTTCCATTATAACAATGTAGGATTTGCCATTAGAAACTAATACTAATCTCTCTTTCTCTCTCTCCTCTAAACTAAACCCACTTCTTCTTCCATTAATAAACAACCACCCTCTTTCTCTCCTCTAGCTATTCTATCACCATCACCACAATAAACAACCACCCACCACCAAACCAAATTTCCCCACCACATGACCACTAGCACCATTGCTCTGCTCCAACTATATGATCCCAGCTACACTGCTCAAACCCAATAATAAGAACCATCACCGCCTCTTTTATGATTGTCAGCCACGACCCACGACAACGACAATTAGCAAATCCTTTCCCTAAAGGTTCGTATGACCCCACTTTACATACTTTGCTACTGGGTATCATTTATTCAGCCGACCGCGTGGTTTACAGTCATGAAGCGGTGTTTTAGGTGATTGATCGGTGTTGGCATGGAAGGGGAGGAGAAAGAAGGGAATAATTTTGTCCATGGTGATTGAATGACGTTTAAAAGAGGCCTCAAGGACGCCTGGCATAAATAGAAGAAAATTTAAGTTTTAATACCCAACACGATTTTCAATGCAAAATAATTACTAAAGCGCTATTTGATAAAGGAAATTGGTTTATCTAGGTGATTAAACTGAATTTGCTAATTTCTTATTAGTTTTTTATGCATGCGATACGTGTGTGATATAATATGCATGGAAACTAACACTAACAAGTTAATAATTAATGTCGTAGAATGTCAACTTAACTATTTTTTTTAGGTGACCTAACTAATGGAGTAATGGGTGTATATCGCTTTGAGTCTTCTATCACAAATGGCTAATCGTTAAAAAGAAAAAAAAAAAACAAATGACTAATTGAAAAATTAAATATTTATAAAAACAACTATAAACTTCAATGGTATGTCCTTTGATGTCAAATAAAAGCTTTAACGTTTTTGGCAAGTTTAATTTAATGTTATTAACTACTCATGATTAAGGTTTAAAGCATAATAAATAAGTAATAAAAAAATTCATGAAAAATCTAATTTTATATTGGTTATATATTTTTTTATTATTACATAAGTGCTAGATTATTAATTTTTTTAACATGATATTTCTTTTAGTAATAATTTATAAATAATTTTACATTATGAATAGTTACTACGTAATTTCAAATTGCATTTAAATAATTTCATGCATTGTGATATATAGATGAGAATGATAGAATTTTATTACATCAATGATTGATTTAATAACAATTTATATGATACATAGAATATCAAAAAATTGTTATAGTAATGTTAATTATAGTGTGAAATTGTTTTATAGATCGGGATAGCAAAGAACATATGAACATCATGTTTGACTCTTTGGTTGCTACAAAAATTAAAATTCTAAGAACTTGATTAATCAATAAAAAAACACATTTATGAATAATAAAAATAATGATTGGAAATCTTAAAATGGTAGATAAAATAGAGCCATCAAAAGTATTTATGACAAGTATAAAATCGTAATTGCAAAAGAAAGTGGAAATAACCACCAAATTACAACCACTAATAATGCTCAATATTCTATAAAGTAAATGTGTAACATAATCAATTAATCACGCATTAGAAAAATAGAAAAAAAAAAAAAAAGAGATGATATTCTGAGTGATTAAAATGGGGAGGGTGTTGCGTTTAATTTATATGGTAGAAATTACTGCTTATTTTTGACTTTTGGAGTTTTGGGGAGGTGATTGATGAGGTAGGTTTATAAATATTATCCCTAAATTTAGCTTGATTAATTATAAATTATTATTACAACACCAATTAAAATGATTGAAACCATCTATTTTGTTTCTAATTGGTAATTATGACTTAAATTATGCTTGATTTAATATGAACAATTTCCAATAAATTGATGGTATGAAAATTTATATTTGTGTATAAACTGATTTATTTGATTGATTGATTAGTTAATTGATTAATTAGTTGATGATGTATTAATATTCTTGTATCTATACTTGCCATATTTTTGATGTGGTTTCTTTTTGTGCTGATCAATTGTTCTTTTATTTTTGGAAATTTTGTCAGAAACCATTTTAAATCTTATTTTTGTGAAAACCACCTTTAAAACAGAAAAATGACGATTAAATCGTTAGCAGTCAAAGCTCTTTTTTTTTACAGTAAGTGGTGAATTACAACAAAAACTATAAATTGAGTGATTTTTACAACATTTTTTTAAAAGGTGATTTTACAACATTTTTTTTTTAAAAAAGTGGGTTTTCACAAAAACAAGGATTTAAAGGTGGTTTTTAACAAAATTACCTTCTTTTTAATATTGCTTGATTTTTTTTTTTAAATTACTTATATCAACGAGGAGGGGTATTAAAGTCTTATTAGCTGGATACGACATGCCATAGTCCCCTTAACTTACTCCCTTTATGTGGCGTTTGGAGTGTGGGAATGGGAGTTTGGGGATTAAAATGTGGGAATCAGATTGGAAATTGATTGTTGAGAATATATAAAAATATGACAATGCTTGTTTGGGTGGTGGATAGGAATAGATAGGGAATAAATAATAAAAATACAAAACTACCCTTACTAACCTTTCTCCTCCATTCTTTTCATTAATGGCAAAAATGTCATTTCCACTTATTCCCATTCCCATCCTACCCTCCCTAGGTAATAAAATGGTGGGAATTCACCCCATTTGTTCCCAATATTCACTTCTTTATTCCCAATCCCATCTAACAAACAAGAGATTTTTTTTAATTTTTTTATTTGGAATTAAAATTCCCATTCCCACCCTCAATTCCCATGTACAAAACACCCTCTTATAGTTTTTAAGTAAAACGTTTCTTATGTATATGTATGCCAATGCAAAGCTTTGACAATAATATGTAAAGAAAAAAATTGTAATAATTGAATATTAATAATTTATTCATTGACATGATTTCAACCATTATTCACACGACTTTTGTTTTGTTATCATATATTAATTAATCACTAACGTTAGTAAGATAAATTGAATACTGAAATAATCAAAACGTTTTACTTAAAGTAATGCAACAAAATTACTCGTAAAACATACTTAAGGTAGTGCTAAAAAATTACTCGTAAAACCCCAAGAGATCAAGCCCTCTTTTGTTCCAAATTCTTTATTAAATTTTCCTTAAATCTGGCTTTTTTGAGTGCCAAATTCGATTTTTTTTTGTATTATCTTATAATTTCTTGGAGTATAGTGAAGATAATTAGAAAATAACACAAATTTTTTGGTATCATCATGAAGTAGAATGAAGATAGCGGCGAGTAGAGGAAGGAACAAAGACAAGTAAGTTCAGCAAGTCGACTCAACTAGCTACTTGCTGTTCGTTAATTTGGTACGGATTATTCTTGATCCTAATTGTTGTTCTTGAATTCTGGAATTTCCAATTTCATCAAATACTGTACTATTTTTTAAAATCAATTTTATTTATCAACTATACTCCGCATTTGATATTACTATAATATTATGATTTATGACTATATAGGATAATTCTGGAAATTTGATAATTATGCGAGCACTTTAACTTGGATTCGATCTGGAATTTTTGTATTCTTCATAATATTGTTACTTCATAACTTTGCAACTAGTTGATATTTGGTTTCTTAATAAAATGGGTTTGCAGCATATTCAACTGTTAGCTTATGAAACTAATTCTATATGAGTTAGAATTGTGATCTTTTGCTAATACATGCACATTCCTTTTTTTATTTTTTATTTTTTATTTTTCCTATAAGTGATTAGTTTATGAATTTTCTTAATTTCAGTATTGTTGTATTGATTCTTAGTATGTTAGGCGAATTCTTCAAATTAGATATATTATGCATTGGAATAATTTACTTGTGAGAATGGAAAGTTAGATTTAAAAAAAAATCAAATTAGATAATTAAGTTTATGCTATTATTAGTTTAACCTAAATAATTGATAACCATTGACGTCGAGGAAGATGATGAACCGGAAATTTTATGCCCATGTATGGAGTGTATTAATAGATTGTGGTTCCCTAGCAAGGTGGTTTTCGATCACCTAATTCCTTCTTAAACTTTTTCTATGGATTTGAGTGTTGACATTTGCAAATCCTTTTTCTAAATGCTTGGTCAAATGTTGCTATTCAGTTGGCTAGCTTGTGATTTTTATTTTTTATTTTTTTGTTCTGATTGTGGATTAATATTGGAGGGTTGTTGTATACTGTATATAATGTGTTAAAATTGTTTGTTTTCACCTCCACCTAGGGAGATTTCCTTTCATCTTAGTTTTGATCACATGTTTGTTTCACATCTCCACCTTCGATTTAAGATCGAATCCACTCATGTGTAGTTTTGTAGGCAAATTTTGGGTGAATGTGATCTATCTTACCATATTATAGCTCATTTTATCAAGTATTCATTATGATCTATTGAAGTTGTTCTACATTGCCAAATTATAGCTCATTTCATTGATTTTTAGCCTAATTTAGTTCACTTAGTTCTATTTAGTCTCGTATCATGTGTAGTTTTAGGCAACTTTTGGGTGAACTTGTTCTACCTTGGCAAATTACACTTCATTTAATCAAGTTTTGGCTTTAATTAGTTCATTTTGAGCTATGTAGGTTTGTTTTGTCTCAATTGTAGTTTTTAAGCCAACTTAGATGTGAACTTATTCAATCTTATCACATTATACTATAATTCATTAACTTTTAGTGTTGACTAGTTCATTCAGATATATTTAGGCTCTTATTGATTAGTTTGGAACTTTTAAGCAATTTTGGGGGTGAAATTGTTGTATCTTACCCATTTATAGTTAATTTCATTCAGTTCTAGCCTTAATTAGTTCATTTGAAGCTATTTAGATTCGCTTTAACATTTTTGGATTTGTTTGGTAAGTATAGGATCGGATGTAATTGTTCTCGCACAACACGTACCAAGATGCACACCTTCCTACCGTAGCAACCGTCTGGAAGCCAGCCGCAGCAGGCCGGCAGCCTCTGCCAACCACAATAGGCCGGCAGCAGCCCTTGCAGGCAGGCGCTAGCCGTCGCCAGCCACTGCACGCCGCAGCAGGTCATAGCCAAGCAGTCACAGCAGGCTGGCAGCAGCCCCTGCCAGACACAGCTGGCTGACAGCAGTAACGGCAGCGACATCAATGCAGGTTCGGAGGGTGTAAATACTTACACTTAAAGTCTGTTTTACTCTGCTTCTATATTGCAATCTGGGCGGTTAAATTTTGGGAATAAATATTGCATAGGTTAAACAAATCTTATGATGATTTATTAGTATGACTAGTATCTGTGATTCCTTCGTTGGTATGCCCATTTGACTTACTTTGATCTATCACTCATTCCATGGCTAAGAAATTATTTACTGAAACTGAGTCTTGTGATACCCTCTTTCAATTCGGACAAAACGTTCAGATTTATGCTTTTCCTTATCTAGAACATCTACCCTCGTTCAATTTTGTTCCCAGTGCTTTTCCATTTGATGGTTATCAATGAGAAAACTATTTCCCATTTAGTGAAGATTTCATGAAATATTTGGAGTAGTTACAACTCTTCCATATTTCAACTATGGATACTGTAAAATGTCGTCAATGTAGCTGATTAGTAATTTTTATGGGAATACACTTGTTATTTTGAAGAATTCTCAAGTTTGCTCTAATATTCCATTCTCTTAGGTTAATATGCTGATCAAAGTTGTTTGGTGAGCTCACTTCTCTTTGTCATTGTTCATTAAAAAAGCATTTGAATTCTATCAGATAACAGAGAATTCAAGTCACAATTGGCGTAATTCATGTCTTTCGCCATATGGGCATGTATATAGGTGAACTTCATAGCCATCTCTATGTATCTATCCTTTCATTGGTTCTCTTTGTCCCTCCTTATCTTCACTTCCACTGCTCGTCCCCATTCAAGATTTTCATACATCATTTACTTTGCCCAAGCCTCTTCTCTGCTGGTGACCTCACCGGTGCCCAAGCTCTAAGATTGGCAATCGGATGACTTTCATTTTTCTGTTTGTCTTTATTCTGTTAAATTATTTATTTTTCTTTTATTTTTTTTATTTTTTATAAATCAATGAAAGTAATTCAACTATTTTGGTCATGTTGTGAACATAAACGTACAATTTTTTGCCAACATGCTTACAAATCATTGTCCTCTCTTTATGAAAGTGTGCATAAAATTAGGATGTTTGTTCATACAATATCTAGCATAAGGAGTAAGAAGTTGGTTAGTAAAGACTATTAATATTTAACATTTGATGATTAATTATATGGGTGTGGAATTTTGTAGTGTAACAAAAAGTTGAATTATTAAAGTGTTATATTATGACTTCTATCAGTTCTATGTAGTATGAATGTATGATCTTAACCTATGACTCCTTTTTATAGGAACATTAATGCTCTGAAGACAGCCGGTAACAATAGCATCAACACCTATCAATTACCCAATTTTCCTTCGTTGTCTCACTCCTAGACAATTTTCTCTCCTGGCAATGTCCAGAGGTAGAGAAAGCTGTAGCTTCTTCTCTCATCTTTTGCTCACGATTTATCTAGGTTTATCTCTTTCATTCTCTATGTTTATGTTTGAAGTTGATTGATAAATATGTTTAGTATAACGGTGATTTGAATTACATTCAGTTTTGTTTTCTTATAAAATGATGATAGTTTAAGTCATGTATGGGTGTGCCTAGTGATTATTAATTTATTTGACAATTTGGAATTGAAAACCAATTGTCGTATCAATAAAGTTATTTATAAAGTGATTGAATGAACATAATTTTTCATCCAAATAATTTATTTACAGGTCTAAGAATTCTCATTTCAAACTTTGTGTTATTGTTTTGTAATATGTATTCTGTAGTTTAGCTGGAGGAAGAAAGCATGGACATACGAGAGGCAATCGTGGTGGATCAAGAGGCCGTGGTTGTGGTGCTCCTACTGGTACTTCAGATAGAGTTGATACTCTTGGTAGACTGTTGTAAGTACTACACAACCTTTTTATTTGTCTATTATTTCTTTTGCCTTCTGAAGACTTTTTTTTCTTATAAACATTGTAATCCTTTTTTCACAAGGCTCAAGACTGTAAACATATTGTTTTTGTATAGGAGTTGGAAATATAGGAGTTGGAAACATGATCAAGCATTTTGTGTTTATTAGGGTACGTGTATTGAGACATGATGCAACGGAGTTGAATTTGGACATGCATAGTGATGGATATGTCAAGCTTCAAGATATTTTGAAGCTGAATATGAAAACACGGTCAAATATTCCATTAAGCTCACATGCTATTGATGAAATTAGAGAAGTAAGTCCTGTCGCTGCTTTTCTCACACATTGATGATCACCCAATCTTTTAAGATAAGTTGATACAGATTTTATGATAGGATTGTAGCTCCAGTGTGTTTCCAATTTTCATTTAAGCCTTAGGCGTAAGTCACAGTTTTCTCCATTCCCACCTTTTTTCATTGACCATTTATCAACCATCATAGACATATTTTTTTCTAGTTTATCTTTTATAGGTGTCATTGCAATCTTTCCCCTTCAATTTTTTTGTGCCTTCCTACCCCTTATTTATGACCAAAAGTCTGATGTATTATTTCTATAAATTTGGTTAATGTCAAAAAGATTTTGGAAAATCTCTGAGATCAACTTCTCATCATCATACTCGGTATTAATTATCTACAATTTTCTCTGTTGGAAGTGAATTTATAATATTTATGTAGGAAAAAAAATCCTTTCACATATCATGATTAAACCTTTTGGATCAAGTATTGATATTAACTCATTACTTTTCCCAAAAAAAAAAAAAAAATGACAAGCAATAGTCATTAAGATATACAGTACATTTTTAGACATTGAATTTCCTTTTATTGAAGATTATTATTTTTTTTTAAATCAAAATTTGATACAAGTATAGTATTACGGAGTACCATTTACCATAAACTTTGCCAATTCGAAACCTTGTTATTTGAAATTTGCTCTCTTTTAGATTTTAAGCTTACAAGTAATTTGGGGCTTTTATTTTCTTGGCTCTTTAAAAACATGCAAATAAATTCAAGGCTTTATGTTATTTCATTTTATATTAGCTCATACTTTTGTCTTTGGCATTGATTCATTTAGTTCTGTTCTTCTTAATACACTTTGACACTGATGTGCTAAATTTTTAGGCTGTAAGGATAGACAACAAGCAGAGGCTTAGCCTTATGGAAGAGGATGGAGAACTGTGGATACGTGCAAACCAAGGTCATACTATAAAGGTTAGCTATCTTTGCAGTAGTTTTATTGTGTATTAAATTAATTAAAATTGTCAAGAACTGCTCCATGAGTCAATATTATTCCAATTCCTGATCTTTTCAATGTTCTAGACTAATGGAGAAGATCTAGATTGTTGGATTCCACTTTTAGTACAGTTCATAAGCTATTTGAAATTGACTTGACTCATCCTGGAAATGATGGAGGACTTTTAGAATTTGAAGTGGAAGATATACATAGGTGTAAATGAATAATTATTTCGTGAATGGAAAATGGAAGTAACAGATGAAGTCAATCTTTTGGCATTGCCATGCTACATATTCCTTGTTCCTAGCATGGGTTTGTTTGATTAAAATAGGAGGTACAGATAAAGAAGGGAACGGCAAAGGAAACCCCTAATTTACGGAATTTGTTTTGAGGGGAAGGGCCATTGTATGCTGTTCTTCTTCATTTTTAATTTTTTTAATTTTTTATTTTTTTTTTCATTTTTTTTTTGGTGATGTGGTTTAACTCAGGAATAAAACCTCCTTAATCCCTCAAGGCAAGTGTCCCTTTCTCAGCTCCCTCATTATGGCGTCTTCTGTTGAATCCATCACCGACAATTTCACCTTTGTCTTGCTGTAAACATTTTCTTTCTTGTTCCCTCTCTATAGCCCCTCACCCCTAACAACCTCCATCTGCTGGCTAACTCACTCTTACCTTTCCCACCTCACAGTCCCCTCCGCTAAGGCGCTAACAATTCTATGAGTTCACAAGTTTCCTACTAGCTCTCTCTCTCATTGGTAGTAGAATTGACCATGAAGGCTCTTAATCTGGAGTCTTGCTGGTCAAATTTAACCATTTACAGCTCATCATTGTTATGGCATTTTAAAGTATGTTCTTTTTGTTTCTTTTCTGGTTATTATGGTGGTAAAAATGCCATGAGCTGCTAATTTTACGGTGATGGGTAGATTTGTTGTGGCTGATGCTTCAGCTTTAATGTGGTGTTGCGCTTGCAGACGTAAGAATGGGGAAGGTATCATGGTAAGTTGAGAACATTTGGCCAGGAAGCTATGAGGTCCATGAGGATATATGTAGAAATATTTAGAGTATTGGAGATATAATTCATTTTTGTTTTGCTTGATGAGCGTGGTTAAGGTGTTGCTAATTAAGGGAAATAAAGAATTAGAGCAAGAGCGAAGCACAACGGCAAGAGCGCTTGCTCGATCGGGGTCAAGCTCGCCCGATCGGGCACGCAAGCACGCTGGAATACCGCTGCTCTGCCGCTTGATTGAGCAGGATCTGCCCGGTCGAACCCGCATGTGCGCTGGAGAAGCATTGTGTGACCGCCGATCGGGCGCGAGTGCTGCTATATTCGCTGGATTGTATACGCTCGATCGACCTACTTCTAGGTAGTTGTTGACGGTTATTTTTGTTCGTGAGTTGCTCTATATATATACATATTGTATATGATGAAAGATAAGAAATGAAAATCAGAAATTAACTTTCTTTTCATGCTCCTTGTTTTTTTATTATTCTCTCTAAGATTCATCATCACAAATTCACAAAAACTTGTTTTCATTGAGTTGCTTTTAGACTACTCCTAATTGCAATTGCTTCGTTGTATCTCCTAAGCGATTCCGTGATACCCAAGCAGTAGCATAGGGCCTTAATAAAGCTTTTGGGAAAGTGATATCTTTCACACCTTGAAGGTTCTCGATGTTGTTCTTGATCGTTGTTTTTTTCATCACCTTTGAGACCCTTTATTTCCATCTTTATTTCCATATAATCCCCAGCAATCCAAAAACTTTATTTTTTTGCAAATATGGCTACCATCAAGGAATTGATGATGAATGTTCAAAAGTTAGACAAGTTTAAGGGTGTCGGTTTTCGTAGATGGCAAAAGAAGATGCATTTTCCCTTGACTTCTCTTAGTGTGGCTTATATTCTTACTACCCCAAAGCCATTGGAGGAAGTAAGTGAGACATTGGAGACCACAAGGAAGAGGAACAAATGGGAGAACGATGATTATATTTGTCGTGGTCACATTTTTAACGGTATGTCTGATGACTTGTCTGATATTTATCAGCTGCTAAAATGCTTTGGGATGACCTTGAATCAAAATACATGGCTGAAGATGCATCTAGCAAGAAGTTCCTTGTTAGTAATTTCAATAATATTAAGATGGTTGATAATAGGCCTGTAATGGAACAATTTCATGAATTACAAAAAAATTTAGGAAACTTTAAGCCAAATGACATTAATGTTGATTAAACATTTGTAGCATCTTCTATTATTGACAAACTCCGACCCACTTGGAAAGATGTTGGAAATTCTTTGAAACATAAGAAGTAGAAATGAATGTTGAAGAATTGGGCTAAAAGATTTCTCTTTCCTAGCCATCTTACTTCTCCTAGGTTGAGATGATGATGTAAATGCCTCATTTTCAACTTAAGCTTAACCATCTAAATCTTAATCAAGTGCAATTTGATCAACACTGTATTTTATCAACACTTAAAGCATTGGTATTTGGAGTAACATCCTTTGATTTGGGAATTGATGAATATTTGTTTTAATCAAATAATGCATCCTTTAACTTTATGGTGGTGCGAATTGACCAAAAGTCATTTTGTTTAATAACATAAAACTGGTATCTATAAAAATGCATTCAAACTCCTCTTTCACCCTAACTTTTTACGTTTGGGATCCGACACTTTCATAAATGCCCTACATCCCCAAACCTTGAGATGACTCAAGTTTGGTTTCCTTTTGTACCATAGCTCATATGGAGTTGCCTTATTCTTTTTCATAGTAACTTGATTTAAAATATAACACCGCTTCTCCCCGAATCCATCACTCATGAATAGGATAAGATGGAATTAACCTTTTCCTGTAAAGTCCTATTCTTTTTATCTGCTACACCATTTTGTTGTGGTGTATATGTCGTGGTTGTTTCATGTATAATACCTAAAGATTGAAAATAATTTGTATCATAGTACCTTTATCAGTCTTTTAACTTTTCTGTTTGTTTGCGATTCTACTTCATTTTTGTAGATTTAAATTTGTCAAGGGCTTCATCCTTAGAAAATAAGAAGTAAACAAAGCAAAATCTTGAAAAATCATCAATGAATGTTACTAAATATTTCTTATTGCCTAAGGAAGGAGTATTATGAAAATCACATAGATCACTATGCACCAAATCAAACAATGTAGTATTCTTTTCTATATTATTTTAAAATGGATTCCTTGTTATTAACATGCATGTTCTACACTTCTCTATACTTTGGATCAAATAATGGAATTAAATCATTCTTCAACATAATTCAGAAAGTAAAGCTTCTTATAATTAACATGTCCAAGTCTATAATGCCATAGAGAAGAGTTATCACTTACAACATAAACATTGTCTTAAACATTATTACAAATACTTAACTTAAACATTCCATTAGAAAGATATCCAAGTCCTACTAACATACCACGCTTAGATAAAATAAACTTATCAGATTCAAACACTAGTTTAAAAGTAGCACTAGACACAAGATTTCTTCTAAGCTCATGAGAATATAACACATGACTAAGTATTAAAGATTTGCTAGAACTAAACATCAATTTTACTTGTCCTTTGCCTAAAACTCTTGCGGTAGAATCATTCCCCATGTATAAAATCTCTCCATTAGTAATCTCAATGGAAGTCTTAAACAAAGAACGATCCTTACATACATGTCTTGATGCTCTTGAATCGATATACCACGATGAATTACCCTATACACAATGGATTTTAGGAATCACACACAAATAGCCCAATATTGATTTAAATGAAACTTGTGTACAAGTACCTTATTTGTCTTGGGATTGGCTTAACTTGCCTTTCCCTTTTAAGCCTTCTTCTTGCTCATCTTTTTCTTCCATATGATGCAGTCCTTTTTTAAGTGATTGGGCTTACCACATACCCAACAAGCTCGTGGTTTTGATGCATCACCATCGACTTTAGGCTTCTTGCCCTTGTTTCCATTAGAGTCTTTATCCCTCTTATGATTGTGACTATCCTTGGACTTACCATCCTCCACCATATTAACGGTGGAACTTGGATTTTCATCCTTAAGTCCATCTTAAATTCAAATTCCCTCTTCAATTCGAAGATGGGAACCCAATTCTTCTACATTCATTTCATCTTTCTTATGTTTCAAAGAATTTTTAACATCTTTCCAAGTGGTGGGAGTTTTTCAATAATAGAAGATTCTACAAATGTTTAATCAACATTAATGTTTGCTGTCTAAAGTTTCCTAAAATTCTTTGTAGTTCATAAAATTGTTCCATCACAGACCTATTATCACTCGTCTTAAATTTTTTGGAATTACTATGATGAGACTTCTTGCTAGATGCATCTTCAACCATGTATTTTGATTCAAGATCATCCCAAAGAATTTTAGTAGATTCATAAAATTGTTAAATATCAAACAAGTCATCAAATATGACCACGACAAATATAACCATCGTTATCCCATTTGTTCCTCTTCCTTGTGGTCTCTAATGTCTCACTTTCTTCCTCCAATGGCTTTGGGGTAGTAAGAATATAAGCCACACCAAAAGAAGTCAAGAGAAAGTGCATCTTCTTTTGTCATCTACAAAAACCGACACCCTCGAACTTGTCTAACTTTTGAAAATTCGCCATCAATTCCTTGATGGTAGCAATCTATTTTAAAAATAAAGCTTTTGGATTGTTAGGGGTTATATGGAAATAAAGGGTCTCAAAGGTGATGGAAATAACTATGATCAAGAACAACAATGAGAACCTTTGAGGCGTGAACGATATCACTTTCCCAAAAGCTTTATTTTGACCCTGTACTATTGGGGTATCACGGAATCGCTTAGGAGATACAACGAAGCAATTGCAATTAGGAGTAGTCTAATAGCAATTCAAAGAAAACAAGTTTTTGTGATGATGAATCTTAGAGAGAGTAATAAACAAACAAAGAGAATGAAAAGCATGCGGGCTGGACCGGCGGATCCTGCTTAATTGAGCGGTTGAGCGACGCTATTCCAGCGTGCTTGTGTGCCCGATTGGCAGGCATGACCCCGATCGAGCGAGCTTCGCCCTTGCCCTTGTGCTTCGCTCTTGCTCTAATTCTTTGTTTTCCTTAATTAGCATCACCTTAACCACGCTCATTAAGCAAAACTAACATTAATTATATCTCCAATACTGTAAATATATCCTACATATATCCTCATGGACCTCATAGCTTCAACCCTTGGCCAAATGTTCTCAACTTACCATAATACTTTCCCCATTCACGTTAATAGTGTAATTTAAATTTGTATACGACATTTAAATCGAGTAGTATTGAGCAATTAAAATTATTATGTCATTTAATTATGGAACAAATGTGATGTAGGATTTTGGTGTGGGCACCATTTCTTAACTTTAGGAAATTCCCAAGAAACACAACATTGAAATATTCATGGTCTAAACCTTAAAAGCCATCAGGGATTAGGGTGGGTTTGTCAAATATCCATGGGCTACCATTGAAGATTACGATTGCAAAATTATTTCTAATTGTCATTATCAATTGTATATGTATTGATAAATTGATATTTGTAACTTCACTCCTTTAAAAGATTACAATGTGATTATCATTCACGACTCGAAGGTTCTTGTTGTTGTTCTTGATAGTTGTTATCACCATATAATCCTCAACAATATATAGCAATATAGGGGAATGGAATGATTGTAAACACTTGGATTTTTTTTTATTTTTTTTTTTGGGGGGGGGGGGGGGATGGGGTTAGTAGATCCCAACCATAACGAGGGTTGCATTTCCATTTCTTGAAGAGTTAACATATGTCTGCAAAAATGGCCATTTTCGAGTATATTGCCTGTAACACACACACACACACAAAAAGCAATAAACAGAAAGAATTGAGGTAAAAGATTAAAGCTTTAATTAACCAAACGCTTAATGGTTCACGCAAAACAGTGAGTTTAGTTCACTACTCTTTAATTAGTGACTTAGGTCGCAACTCTCAAGAAAACTCGCTTGATACAATGCCTCTCTCTCCCCTCTTTTTTATTTATGTACATTCTCAATCCCTAAATTATCTAAGTGGCTGCTCACTGGCTGATGTGTTTTCTCATTTCACTCTCTTATTGGCGGCTTCTCTGTTATGCTGCAGAGATGGTGGTGTTGTTGCCACCAACCTTTGTGGGTATTCTTTGTCTTCTTCTGGCATAGGTAAGGACCTGCACCACGGTCCATTAAATTGCCATCCAAATTTGTTTCAAGCTTTTTCTACCACATGGACATTGGCTACAGCTATATGGCCATGGCCCTTGGCTTTCCCATTCCATGTGAGGTTTTTGGGAAGTAGTCTTAGGAGCTTGGGGGGAATCCACCTAGTGCTTTGCTGTTTTATTCTCTCTTAAAAAACTGATTTTTTTTTTTTATTTATTTTTTTTTTTTTTAGGAAACAATAGATGTTTCTTGTTGAACTCTTTTCCATATCGTTTAATCTACTGTGATTTCTCTCTTTGGTTATTTAATCTGTAGAGAGTGAGAGTTTGTTGAAGCTGATCCTTTTTGCTGAAGAGATCCCTGGTATGCACTGCGCTTAAGTACTCAGATCTCCATGTTGCTTGCTGGCAAATTACTCTGTTTTGATTTCCAAACTTGAGATAAAAATTGGTAAAATACTCCAAGTTAGTCTAAATTGACTCATGCACAGCCTAAAATGACCCGAAATGACTCAAAAACTAACCAAAATGGATAAAAGCACAAAACTCTAATGTATTCTATGCTCTTAAAAAGCATTAGACCTTGTTCACTTCAACTTATTTGTACTGAATTGAAAGTATTTTTGTTAAAATTATTTTTACTGAATTGAAATTAATTTTACTAAATTAAAATTATTTTTACTTTACTAAAATGAAATTATTTTTTACTAAACTGAAATTACTTTTGCTGATCTGAAATTATATTTATTGAATTGAAATTAATTTTACAGAATATTATTTTTTAAGGTGAAGTGAATAAGCTTTACACCCCCTAACTAGGCTTGTACAAAACTATTCGAGAATTCGCTCCGCAACCTATTCGATTTTTTGGATATTCGATCCGAGTTTTCATTTCGAATTGAATATCCAATCTGAGTTTTCATTTTGAATCGAATATCTGATTCGAAAAGGCGGATATTGGATGCAGATTCGGATATTGGTTTTCAAAATTTCGGATATTCGATATTCGAAAATTATTCGAAATATAAAAATTGAAATAGTGATATTTATGAAGTATAAATTTTTAAAAATGTCCATATGAAACTAACCACGTGTTATTAACTTATTATACTATTCTTAATATATTTTCTTTTATTTTGTTAAAATACGTTGTACAAATTAGAGATAAAAAAACGATAAAATTAGTTAAATTTAGAAATTAATCATAATCAATCTTAATTAATATTGGGGGTTGTTAAACGTCGCTCCCATTTTACTAGGCACCGCTCGCATTTTTTATATGAACTTTCTTATTTACCCCTCGTAAATGAATACTCACGAAACTCACAACACTCATTTATGAAATCACAACGCATTTCACTCTCATTTCATCTCTCTAAAAAAAATCAAATTATGTAAAATCTGGAAAGAAAATAAAAATAAAAAAGTGGAGTTCTGCCTGAAAATTCCGGAAGTACCAAGGAGGATCCGAAATTTTCAGGCGGATCTACCCATCCGCCTTAAATTTTCGGATGTTCGGTGGTGGATCCGCCCGAAAATTCTGGATCCTCTTTGGTACTTCCGGAATTTTCAGGCGGAACTCTACTTTTTTTTTTTTTTTACTTAATTTGTTTTTTTTAGAGAGATTAAATGAGCAACTAATATCAACAAGTAATAACAACATAAGCAACTAATTACAACATTGATCACAACAACAATAATAATACTAATACTAATTACTCAATTTATCACAAAATTAATAATGATCACAATAAAAATTATAATAATAATACAAAGATTACATTAATAAATTTGATTAATTAATCAATTAAAAAAAAAGAAAAAAGATCCGCCCAGAATTTTCAGATCGACCTAGGTGGATCCCCTTAAAAATTTTGGATCCACCTAGGAAGATCCGGAAATTCTGGGCGGATGTGGAGATCTGCCTTAAATTTAGGTGGATTCGGAAACTTTAAGCGGATCCACCTTTATTTTAGACGGATGTTTTTATTTCAAAAAAAAAAGTACGAGGACTTACAGAATACTCCGACGATGCCTTCGGTGTATGACCGTTGTCGTCGTCCATCGTCCTAAACCCATCGCTAAAGCTTAAAAAAATTTTATTAAAAAAAAAAATCGGATTTTTGGTGTTGGATCGAATGTGGTGGGGTTTGATGTGGTGGGGTCGGAAATTTTTTTACCACGTGGTAGTAAGTGGAGGGGTCGAGAATGATATTATACCATTATATACTACAATTTACACAAAGGGCTATATCGTTCTTCCATGTCAAATAGGGAGCGATATCCTGTAAAATGGGAGCGTTGTTTAGCAGTTCACTTAATATTGGATAATGGATATCCTAAGCATCCGATCTTAATGATTTCGGATATTTGATATCTAAAATTTTTGGATCAGATTCGGATATCCGAATCGAAATCACATTTCAGTTGGATATCTGGTCCGTGAACAGGCCTACTCGTAACTTGACCGACACCAAAACTTTGACTCAACTATTCACCGAGTAATTAATTTCCAATGTATTATACTTTGGAAACACACTAGCTATATGACATTTCCAACTAATTTGATTTAATTAGTTACTCTATATTTATCGATGAATATCGAGTAAGGGAATTTAACCTTATAAATTGAAGATTCATATTAAAGAACCCTACAAATTGAATAATTTGAGGAGAAGGAGAGGAGTAGCAACAACAATACTTAAGTTTTTATGGTTGTTTAAAACCCTCTTCGCGAAAAGAGAGAAAAGAAAAGAGGGAAGAAGATCGACTACCTGGCCATGGTTGGGTGCTTGCTTGCTCTTCATCACCTGCATTATTTCGCTTGCTATCTTTAAAAGAAGGGAGAGAATGAGAAGAGGAGAGAAAAATGGGTGAAGAGGAGAGAATGTGTGTTGAAGAGGAGAGAATGTGTGTAGAAGAGGAGATAGAGTGTGTATTCGACATTTTGAGGAAGGGAATTCAGCTAGACCAAAATCGAAGATGAATAGACAAAAGAAAAGAAAAAAGGACAAAATTGTAGTGAGACTATTTGAGGGGCAAAATAGACAACACACTATTCATATGTAATTCTTATTTCCCACTTCTTGCTTTTATTAAAGGTTATACATTCAATTCATACCAACCTTTTATTCATTTTTAATCATCTACAACCCCACTATATGAGGCTCAATAATATTTAATAAATCTCTTTGTCGCTATCTCTCTCCTCGTTATTAACAAAAGTATCTACATTATGCATAGTCCTAGTTTCCACTGTTTCTTTGTTTGTATATATTATTGTTATTATACCTCTGTTTCCCTAAGTTCTACTCACTTTTCGTTTTCATCTGTTTTTATAAAATTTACTCACTTTTGCTTTATTCTTTTTGTGACAACTTTTTGTTCATTTTTTTTTATCTTCCATGAACTTTGTGGGTTCCAATTTGATAGGAAATTATCCCCTTAAGGTCATTAAACTCTATACTCTAACTTCGTAATATATTGTTCTACTACTTTCATAAAGAACTTCCAAACCCTTCATTGAATATAATAAATCCCGTTAACTTTCATTGAGATAGAAACAAAGGGATAATAACAATACCAATTATTCTTAATCTAGTACTTCGTATTGACATTAGCACAATCTATTAAGCATGTCAATTAAGTCAATTATTGGAGAATTTAAAGAGGTATCACACACATCAATCATATTTGGGTTCCACTTAATCATAGATTGGGAAACTACTCACACATAATAATGAAAGCAAAACCGATAATCAATGAAGAAAACATGATTGTCATGAAAATAAAAGTAGAAGAGAAGATATAGATGCATGAATATTAATACTTGAGTTGAGAAGAGAATCATTTGTTGATAACAAAAGCTTACATCTGATCTTCAAAGGGCAATTAAAAACCTAAGTAGAGAAGAAACTAGAGTTCAAATAAAGTATTTAAAATATAAGTAATAAAATAAGTGTGTTTAATCAAGTTTTACAAGGGTATTTTAACACAAGAATAAAAATCTTAAAAGATAGGTTTTCGGCTCCGCATAGCTCTGACCGGTCTGTCAAGGCGAAGTTGCCTGGTAGAGCGGACAAGAGTTGATTATCCTCCTTTTTCCCTTAAACCTTGCCGTGACGAAGGTTTTGCTCGCCTGATTAATTAGCCAGGGCGAATCCTCCCGGTTAGACGCACTAGGAGACTTCGAATTCCTCTTTTAAAGCATCGTCTAAATCTCTTCATTAAAAGCTTCTATTTTGATATTAATTTCATCTTCATATACTGGCTCACTCAAAGTTTTGGTTTTGCATCCAATTACCTTCTTTTTTCAATAAAATAATAAGTTCATTAGGATTTTAATTTATTTTTACATGTGAGCATGAACCAATATCTATGCTATGCCTTGCTGGTTGTTTTAAGGTTTTCTTAGCTTCATATATCTCATTTAATTTACTCTCTTTATAAAAGCTAATATTTTTTCTAGCTTCTTCCTCTTTGGACTTTTCATGTACTCGTTATTTCATATTCTAATGCTAAAATTTTGTCTACTTAGACTTGGTGTTCTTAGACTTAGACTCCTTTGCATTCTAGGGTTTAGTTATCACACGATGAAGTAACCCTGATTTATCTATCAATATTACTTGACTTGTTGCTAGACGTAGAGTTCATACACAATTCTCCCAAGTTTTTTCTATTGTAATATCGTTTGAATTTACTTTTGTTGTGGCTATTATCTTCTCAGGACTACCTCCTTGCTCATGCTTTTGAGCATCTACTATCGTTTTTCTAAACGATGAACCTACCGTGTTTACCAGTTTGTAGACTACTTTCCACCTTAATTGCATATGTCTAGTTCCTTATGCATTTTTTACTTTATCGGTTAATTACTTGATAGCTAAAAACTTTGGAGCAAGCATATGAATATTCTAAGCTCACATAATACCTTAGTTGACATATATAGCTTACAGTCTCTTGACTTAAATTGGATGTGATACCACTAACTATTTGATTATAGAACTCTTTATGTAATATCACAAACAAAGATTAAACATTTAACATCATTGCCAAAATCCTATAGAGGAACTATTATATACTTGAATTGTAGTGCACCAAACTATTATATACTTGAATTGTAGTGCACCAATATAGTTATATACATAATTTCCTTTTGCTTTATGATTTTTATTATCCTTTCTGTTTATGATATTGATTTATGCTACTTTCTTTTCACAATCTTGTGTTACTGTACTTTATTTCATTTCTTCGCATACATACTTAGTTTTGATTTTAAAGAAAGAAGTTTATATATTTGTTTTGTCTTTGGTAATCTTGGCTTAGTGTAATGTTCGTGCTTACACTTCCGCTATTTACAACAAGTAGGACACATGGTTATTAGTGGGTGAGCTTATTTGTAACCTTAGATGATCTAAATTAAAGTAAAATGGAATACTAATTTGTCCATTTTTTTTCCTCATATGGTTAAATACATATTTTAAAAATATTCATTTGTTTATCAAGAAGAAAAACACTAACAATTTATAACGAAGTTTTTTAAAAATATCAATATGCATTATTTAAGGCTTAAAGACACACATATCGATAATCAACTGCTTCATACAATATTCAATATTTTTACATGAGATAATAAGAAAATAAATATATTTTGGTCAATTTTTGTTCATAATATTTCTAAACTATTTTTTTTTCTTATAAAAAATGGTTAAAATAACAAATACTTTGTAATAAAAGTTAAAATCATTGTGTATACACAAAACCTACTCAATAACCTAATTGATTATATATTCAAAGTTATATCAAACATTAATAAACCGTAATTTAATAGAACTCAAACTCCGTCATAATTTTTATCTTCTTATCAATTACAAGTATTATATTTATTGGCTTATGACAACTTGATTAGTGGATTGGATAAATTAAATGATATAGATTGGATAAAATTATTGGATTTTAGCATAATAGGTAAGATAAGATTACATTATACAAAATAGGAAAAGAATTACAAAGGATTAATGGAATAATGTACACATAGTCACATAGTCATAGTGTATCTCAATTGCACGTCACTTCCGCCACACCTAAAGCAACACATATGTAACCTTCCAATTCTATTCGTCCCCTTCTTACCCCCTTGTTAGTCCGCACGATCCGATGTCAAAACACTTTGATCAAAACCCAAGTCAAACACGGGCTACCTTTTCCTAACTTCTTCCTCCTTCATAAATACAATCAATCTTCCCTTACTTTTCTTTCTATTTCTTTCTTCCTAACTTTACTCTAAATCTGCTGTTTTCTTTCACCCTCTTTCTCTCTCTAAAATCTCTCTCTGAAACAACAATGGAGGATTCAAACCACCTCTACGAGTTTGACGATGTCAGTGCTGCCGCCACGGCCGTGCCGAATCATGGATGGCAGAAGGTTACCTACGCTAAGCGCAGGAAGAATCAGCAGCAGAATAAGCAGAAACCTGCTGCCGCTTCCGGAATTACTGTCGCTGATTCTGGTGTTGATAAGGATGGGAATGTTTTTCGAGCGATCGAGCAGCAGTCGGAGGATCGGCATCGTCGAATTGTGGAGGCGCAGAAAAAATCTGCTCTTTTCGATGATGACGATGATGTTCGTCGGAATGGTAGATCGAAGAAGCGCGATGATTTCGATGATAGTGAATCGGAGGAGAGAGAGAATGTGAGTGTTGTTGAGAAGAAGGATGATAATAAGGAGAAGAAAAAGAAGAAGAAGGTTGAGAAAAAACCTAAGGTTTCGGTTTCCGAAGCCGCTGCGAAGATGGATGCCGATAATTTATCTGCATTTCTTATCCATTTGTCGGTGAGTTGTTTTTGGTGTAGATCAATGTTTGATTTGATTATTGAATTGAATTGGGTTGAATTGAATTTTGTAGAATTGAATTTCGTTGAATTGAATTTCAATTGTGATCTGATTGATTTGAGTGGTTTTTTGTGTTTTAGGGTTCTTATGAAAATCAGGAGGACATACAATTGATGCGATTCGCAGATTATTTCGCACAGGCTTTTTCAGGGGTGTGTTCTGCCCAATTTCCGTGGGTTAAGACATTCAGGGAATCTCCAGTTGCTAAACTTTCTGAGGTGAGAATTTTTAAGCATAATGATGAATTCTGTGACAACTTTGGCAATTAGATCTTTAGCTGAATTTCAAATTTGATGATTAATTTTGTTGAAGCTTTGTTAATTAGATCTTTCATGCTCAAAACTCGAAATATGTTAGTGATTGAATGCATCCTGTACCAATTTAGATTTAGTATAGCCTGAATCTGAAACCATTTTGTTTTTGAATACATCTTGTACGATGATACTAATGCTTGAGCTGAATTGGCTGGGCAAAATCGATGTCCAATACGAGTTATGTGCTTGTGAAACACGTGGGTTTGTATTGTATATAAAATTCATGAATGTGTTTTATTATCCGCGGACCACAATTGCTGGCATTTGGACTACCTTATCTTTCTCCAACTAAAAAGAATGTCTTTTTTTTTTTTTTTTTTTGGTTGAGAATTTTACTGTAAATTTTTTGGGCTTTACAACTTATGTACGGAGTATTATCTAATTTATAGACTGTAGAGGAATATAACTTTCTGTATATTATATTGATTTGTTTGGATGTCTTTGAGTAACATATGTTTTCTTTGGTGAAAAGATTCTAGGTATTGGATATTTGGACTATGTAATTTGATTTTTATGTACATTGAACCGGTTTTCCCTTTGTATATGATTCTTTTGCCTCTCCTTTCTTTGTTTATACAAAGTACGATTTATTATTCATTATCAGCCTCGTCAACTGGTTTTTGCTTGACTTCACATTTTGTATAATTACATAGCTGTTATTTCTTGCTAGGCTTGTCTGCTCATCCGCTTTTACTTGTTTTTCTGAATAGATCCCTGTCTCCCATATCCCAGATGCTGTTTATAAGACATCAATTGACTGGATCAGCCAACGTTCAGTACCCGCTCTTAGTTCCTTTGCAATTTTGTTATTAGATAGTATTCTCGCAGATTTGAACGTTCAAGCTCCTAGTGTTAAGAATGCTAAAAAGGCAACTCAGCAGCCAACATCCAAATCTCAGGTAATTTTGTACAGAATGTGATCATCTTTAAGTCTATCTCCTAGCAGAACTTTAAATGCTTTCTTATATCTAAGAATTTGATTTGCTTTTCTTACACTTGGTTTATGATTACACCTCATTTCAAAGTACACAGTACTACAGCAGGCTTATATATGTTATTTTGAAATTATGACTTTGATGCTGGTTTGAAGCATGTCTGCTGCAATGTAATTACTAATGCTTTTGACAATGATTTATGATTATCATTTTATATTTATTATATCTTAGTGTCACTTATCCGGTCTCTTCTTGTTTTACCTCTTCCCTTTTCCCCACCATAGACTATGGAAGGAAGTATCGAGTTCTGCCAGAATTACTATGTCATTGGAATTTATGGAGAACACTAACTGTGCTACCAGCCTGCCACTCTTTTCACTTTCTAGCTCATAGGTCTTTCACAATAATTGGTCATATCACTCTCCACTCTCAAAGCATCCTATGTAGTCATTTTGTTTTTGTCTTATGGATGTTGCTATATGTGACAGGTTGCTTTATTTGCGGTTTTGGCAATGGTTTTAAGGCGTAAACCAGATGTTCTCGTGAGTTTGTTGCCTACATTAAGAGAGAACCCCAAGTATCATGGACAAGAGAAGCTTTCAGTTATCATATGGATGATATCTCAGGTAGTCTTTGGAGAAATGCCTCAAATTATTTGAAGGGTATTGAGTTTGAATTGTTATTATGCTTGTCCTATTTGACTGCCACTGTCTTATCCTGACAAAGTAATCTATTCTGTATAGGCCTGTCAAGGAGATTTGGCAGTTGGCTTGTTTGCATGGGCTCATAACCTCTTGCCATTGCTCAACAGCAAATCCACTAGCAATCCACTTTGTAGGGATCTGATTTTGCAGTTAGTTGAAAGGTTTGAAACAGTTGCATATTTTTGATACAGTACATCATTTGTGTTTAATGTATTGTACGTTTGTAATGAAATGTGCTTGATTGCAGAATTTTGGCTGCCCCAAAGGCCCGTTCTATCTTGGTTAACGGAGCTGTTAGGAAAGGAGAACGTCTGATCCCTCCAACTGAGTTTGAGATCCTTATGCGGGCCACTTTCCCTGTATCATCTGCCAGAGTAAAGGTGTGTAATTCATAGAGATTATCATTCATGACCTTTTATTGAATATGTATCTAATAGTTGTATGGGGATTCTTTGCAGGCAACTGAAAGATTTGAGGCTGTTTATCCTGTCCTGAAGGAAGTTGCTCTTGCTGGTGCGCCTGGAAGCAAAGCTATGAAACAAGTTTCTCAGCAGATATTTGGATTTGCAATTTTAGCAGCCGGAGAAGGTAATTGTTTTCATGCTATTTTGCATCCTTGTTTTCTTACATAAACATGCATTTCTAAGAAAGAACTCTGTTGAGAAATTTATGTGTATATTTTGTTTACTGATTTCACAGGCAAACCTGAGCTGGCTAAAGAAGCCACTGACATCTTAGTTTGGTCCTTGTCTCATAACAGTGATATCTACAAGCAATGGGTAAATTGATTTTACTACTCTTACTATTGAGCATTCAATTCTTTGACAGGTTATATTGGCATTCTATCTTTTGTGGTTTACTTGATTTTCGTGCTCATTTTTGCAGGACAAAGTATACCTGGATAATGTGGAGGCAAGTGTTGCCGTTCTGAAAAAGCTTTCTGAGGAAAGAAGGGAACAGCATCTGAACCAGTCATCTCTTGAAACTGTAAAGCAGACTCTGAAGAGTTTCCAGCAGAAGGTAGATTCCATGATCCTCACTCAACCTTTTTATTTTATTCAATCACATCTGGAGCCGTAGATTGACGGATAAAATACAATAAAAAAATAAAGATTGATAGAGAGAATCAGCTTCTGCTAATTCTGTTCTTGAAAAAGCAGGCCATAATACGATTGTATGTGACTTTGTATAATTCATTGATTTGACATTCTTTTGCTTTTCTCGTAGAATGAAAAAGCATTGGCCGGTGACCATTCGGGACAAGCAGCTCTCTTCAAGGATGCTAACAAGTACTGTAAAGTGTTATTGGGGAGATTATCGCGAAGTCATGGCTGTGTGAAAGCCTTGGTATTTGTTGCAGTTGCAACAGCTGTGGGTGCTGCTGTTATGTCTTCAAATGTGGAGTCCTTTGATTGGAAGAGGGTGTCTGTGATGCTCAGCTCCTTCCAATCTTTCTGAAATAAGAACGCTTAGTGGCTGTGCACTGTCAGTTCTACTGTTCATTTGGTTTGTAATATGATTGAGAGGAAGCAACACCAGCAAGTTTACATCCAACAATAACCATCTAAATAGATCATCGGATACAAGGAGTTAGAATGAGAGGATGCCATAAGGCTTTCGGCTGTATTTGATAGTTTCAATTCGGTCCTCGACATTTTTGACCGATTGGATTTTCTGTTTATTTATTTTAGTTTTTATTTTTTTTCAGCTTCCTGTTAACTTTTAGAATATTTGACATACATGCTTGTATTTGTAGACTCGTATGCTTTTATTTACAGGTTTTAATATTATGAAATTATTAAATTACCAAGTCTCTTGTACTCCCTTCGGTCTGGTATAAGATTAAAAAACAAGAATAATTGAAAATTATTTACAACTAAATTGATCTACCAAGTAAAAAAAGTTGCTGAATTGAAACTTTTTTATTGCTTCCTCCTTTTTTATGCATCTTATTTGGGAAATTATCAATGGTACCCCCCAAGTTCGTGTTTTTCTCAATGGTACACCTACTCAATTATTCTTTATCAGTGGTACATCCAAAGTTTTATACAGTTATCAGCGCTACACCTACCGTACCCTTTTCGTTAAAAAAACGTTAGTTTTGACTTCTTTTCAATTTTTTAACTTACAAAAAAAAAAATTAATTAACTATTTTAAACTTATTTCTCAAAAAAAAAAAATTATTCTTTCTCCTTCGTCTCCGTTCCATGGCCTTCCTCCAACCCCTTCCACCACCTAGGCCAACAACACTATGGCGCCACCCCCCCACCACCACCACCACTGCATCCCCCGGCCTCAGCAATAACTCCCTTCTTCTCCGCCGGAGTCAGCCTGGAAACCTCCCCTTCCCCGTCGGCCGAGCCATCCCCACCCCTTCCCCTTCTCTTTCCTCTTCCTCGAGCTCTCCATTGAAGCAGCGTGCCCAGCCCCCTAAATCACGTGGTGGGGTTTCGATGTGGGGGTGGCAAGCAGTGGGGTTTCGATGCAGTGGGGTGGGTTTCCAATTTAGGGTTGGGTGGGATTTCAAGGTGAAGTTGGGGATCGGGAAGAGGAGTGGGCTGCCATGGTCAGGGTGGTTCGATTCGGAGGGGTTTCGAGGTGGCGGGAGTCGGTGGAGGTGGAGGGCGGGGTTATTAGGTTCAGGAGCGTTTTGAGGTGGCGGGGGTCTGAACGGGGAGGGGGAGGGGGGTGAAGGTGGAGGGGGGCTACTGAACAGGAAGAAAGGTTTTTTTTTTTATTTATTTTTTATTTTTTTATTTTTAATTTAAGATTTTAAAAAAAAATTAATTAATTGATTTTTTTAACTTTTTTTTTTAATTTTATTATTTGGACCAATCAGGTGTCGCCATGTGTCAGTTATTTTATTTTATTTTTATTTTTATTTTTTTGGACCAATCACAGTGTTAGTTTTTAAAAAAAAAATTGTAAAAAAAGCCAAAACTAACGTTTTTTTTTAACAGAAAGGGTACGGTAGGTGTAGCGCTGATAGCTGTGTGTAAAACTTTGGGTGTACTACTGATAAAGAATAATTGAGTAAGTGTACCATGGAGAAAAACCCAAACCTGGGGGATACCATTGATAATTTCCCCGTTTTTTCCACTTGAGGAAATATCACAACATAAATAGGAGACTAATCTCCTTTAAAAAGATTCATATTACAGACCTTATTGATGCCATCAACAAGAATGGCATCCAAAAGATAGGAAATTAAGCTAGCATAGGAAAAAGTAGTTGAAACAGCAGCAACATCCAAAATATAAATGGAAGCACCAATTTAGATTCATTGCTTTTTTTTTTTTTTTTTTAATTTCTTTTCTTAATAAATTCTCTCTATTCATCACTTTTTTTTTTTTTTTTTCTTTTTTTAATAAATTCTCCCTATCTCTTGCGCCAGTCTCTAAAATAAAAACTGGAGGAAGTATGACTTGTATAGCCTCTTCAATCTTCATTTCTCAATGAAGATTTAATCTAATATGATTGATAATCAAATAAGGAGTCTCTTCTGTAAATCGGATATATTATATGTATAATCACATTGTGATCCTTTAAAAGAGTGAGAAGTTACAAATATGAATTTTTCAATACATATACTATACAATTGATAATGACAATCAGAGACAATTCTTCATTCGTAATCTTCAATGGTAGCCCATGGATATTTGAGAAACCCACCCTTAACCTCTGACGGGTTTTCGGGTTTAGACCATGGATACTTCAATGTTGTGTCTCTTGGGAATTTCCTAAAGTTAAGAAATGGTGCCCATACCAAAATCCTGCATCACATTTGTTCCATAATTAAATGACAATAATTTTAATTGTTCAATACTACTCAATTTAATTGTCGTATACTAGTTTAAATTACACTATTAACGTGAGTATTAAATTAGAGGAAGGAAGAAACAATTGACTTAAGGAGCATAAAGGTACTCACCCAGGGAAGAACAAGAAGACGAACATAAATTGGAAGTACATTTCAAGTAGATTTCTTCTGTACCATCTTATTCTTAGCCAGTTCATGATTATCGGCTGTCATGAAATATAAAATCAAGCATGTCAAATATAAACTACTACGGAGTATATGATCAGTAATTGAATAACCTGAAAAATCACCATTTTTTGTTTGCTTTGATTCGATAATGAACTGAAAAAATGCTCAACTTGTTCGGATTATTTCTCCATATGCTACTATGGTATGTCGAATTATTTTTTCGTAATGTTCTCTATATTATCATAATTTTTATGATTAATATGAAGTACGAGTATCTATTATTATACTGTACTAAGGTACTATGTACTAAGATTGAGTGATGCATAGAGTATGAGAATCATCCAACCACATTAGCAAATCATTTTAAATATTCTAGAATGTTTGAATTCCATTTTTATTTTGGTTACATTTTCTAAATAGTCTGGTTTATTATTATTATTATACACTACTATGGTGTATGGATTACCAAGTTTGAATGATCTATAGATTATGAGATTTGCCCAACTATGATTAAAACATCACAATTCAAACGAAAACAGAACATAATACTACGAGTTTTGTCAATCGTTGTTGGAAATAATTTGAGACGGAGGTAGTAAATAAGAACATCATGCAAACGGACATAGTAATTACGAGTTTTGTAAAAGATCAATTTATAAATGTTGAACAAAGGATTAGAAAAGGGTGGATGATTTTGCTTACTGGCATAATAAGAAAGTACCAAAAAGCCACAACTCCAGCCTTAATCAAAACCCAAACCAAATCTTCATGATAATTTACTCCTGTAACTGCAAATGCTGGTTCTGCAGCAACCTGTTGATACATTTTATTGCATCTTCTTAACCACTAAAATAAATACGATTCGAATAATTCATCAATTGAATTAAGGATGAAGATCATACAGTTGTGGTGGCCAAAAGTCCCAACTGAAACACCCAACTGGATTTAATCCCATCACTAGGCTTCAATGAAATCTTGCTTCCATTACTAATCTATTTAAAGCAAAAAAAAAAAAAAAAATACAGATTAAAATCATCCAAAAAAAAAAAAAAAAAAAATAAAGTTGTTGTGGCATTTTTTTATTCTGTGTGTGGGAAAATGTAGGAGACATACCGGTGATGGTTGTTGGTTGGATTTAGAAGCGCTAAGCAGTTTGTGTTTGTGCGCACAAGTGATGGAGAAAGTGGTTCGGCATTTCGGAGCAGAGAGTAAAGGCAGAGCCTTGAGAGGGTGGAAGATTGTACAATTCATGGTTTTGCTGTCTTATCTCTTCTAATCAGAACCAAATGTTTCCATGGTAAGCATGCCATGCATCTGAGGACGATATTGGTTTGTCCCTTTTTTTTTTCTTTTTTTTTTTTTTTGGTTTTGTTTTGAGACGGGTTGTCCACCACATGAATACGGATGGAAATGGTGAAACATTTACTTTCTCAGGTCTTTTTTAGTTCACATATTTTAAGTTTTGTCATTACTTGCAGACTCTATATTGATGATCCTAAGTTAGAAAAAAATTGATCATGTTAGATTTTCGTCTGAATCTATATACAAAAAATATTACTCTTTTACTTCGTATGATTTTACTCATCCCCTCTGTTTTTTAATGTTTGTCACATTTGTTTTTTTGTACAATTTTTAATGCAATATTGTATATATAATATATAATATTACATATTACAAAAAATTATAAAAATTTCATGTTTGACAACTAAATTTCGAGTCGACAATAACATGATCATAAATGACGATATTTTTAAAAATAAAAAGTCATTAAAATGCAAGATTTTATTTGCATTAGAATCTCTCAAGTAAGATTCCACATGGGACATCATACCTTTTATCGTCTTTTAAATTATTTGTCTTGAATACAATCTTGAATGAACCTTTAAAAACGTCTTAGGATAGATTGAAATGCTTGAATTGTATTTGTAGGGTGTATTATGGTGCATTAGGAGCTAAGGTTTTAGGCTCATAATTTGAGTGTATTCCATTTGAAGTTGATAGTAATTGGTGAAATTTGTCGCCGCCACTGCTAACGCCAGTGCATCATTGCACCCTGAGATTTAATGCACTGTGATAGATTCCAGAGTAGTGGTTAGAATATAATCTAGTGTAGTGAGCTAGCTTCCAAAGCCATCTCAGAGAGGTTTTACTAGGTTTTTGAGCGATCTTTAATTAGGTTATTTGTATGGGTTTTTGAGCCATGTTAGCCTATTAGGTTCATCATCTAAGGCTCAAATTGGGTTTGGATTGAGTTTAAATTCAATGGACGCTTATTTTGGCTCAATTTGGGCTTGATTTAGAAGGTTTATTGGTAATTAAATTTTTTGGGTCCATATTCAAGTTTAAACTAGCTAGATAAAACAAATAGTAAAACTTTTCAATCATCACGTTCTTTTAAAAGAGACACACTTTAGTGCATGCACTACCTTATTTCTTTGTAACTAATACTCTATAGTGACTTGTGTAAAAATCATCATCATGGATAAGTATTGGTGCATAGGACTTATTTGTTTTGAAACAAATAGGATGGTCAAGTTATAAATATTAACGGAGTATAAAGTACCGTTAAATAGGTTAATAATACCATTAATGTTGTGGTATTATAAATATTTTTCTAATGGTACAAATAAGTATGTAAATTGTACATCAAATATTATACCACTATGAGATATAATAATACTATTAAGATAACCTATACTCTAATGGTATAATATACATGCATAAAATTACACCAAAAATACCACTGTAACCATAAAAAATACCATTATGAATGTCAAATGCCTATTTTTTCCTCCTATGTGTTTCCAAAACACCTAGGAACTATGAGCCAAGATACACTCCATCATCATCATTGTCATAGTAGTCTTCTTCCTGGAGTGGTGACAGAGATGGAGGAGAGTAAATCACCACCACGCATTGATGGTAATTGGAGCTTTAAGGTTGGATTCCATGGTATTATGTGAAGGTTGGGTTTTGCATTTACTCAATTGAAGGGGTAATTTAGTAAATTAAATGTTATTCATCATGGTTAGTCCTTTTTAGGTTAATTATGACAGTAAAGTAAGGCTAGATTAGAGACTGATTATAACACTAATGTTATTTAACACGACACGAAAAATGCGGGGGGAAGGGTTTTCAATCTGTTTAGTTAAATGAGTTGACACGACACGACACGACACAACTAGTTAAATGGGTCGGGTTTGTAACACAAAAGTAAGACTAGCCAACCCGGTTAATAAGCTGGTAGTGTTCGGGTCAACCTGTTTACCTGCTTACCTACTTAAGATTTTAAAAAATTCTTCTAATTCACTATGGCCCAAAAAAAGATAATCGCCCAAAAAATAAAAAAATAACCTAATATTTTCATTCACTACAACCGTCAATCAAAAAAATTAAAAAAACCTTATTTAACCTATAACAGCCATTGTTGGCAAGCTTTCTTCCTTAATCTCATCTTTCTCGCATTAATCTCATGATTCTCATCTCACTCGCTCTAATATCTTTAATAACTTTTCTTCCTTTCAATTTGATTATATAGTTTGTCCTAATATTTTTTGTTTTTTAGATATGTTACTCAAATACTCATGTTGTAGTCTTCATCTATTTAAGGTAATCTCTTTTATGAATCTAAATTTATATTTTTTTTAGATATGTTACATCTTTTATTGATTTGATTATATACATTTGTTCATCTATTACTTTGTTCAACTTTTACTGATTTTGATTCAATTTTGCTTCCTAATTAATATCATCCCTCTCAGATGGAATTTGAGGATCCTAAATCAACTTAAATTGTTGGGGAAGAATCTGGCAAGCTAGAGTTTGAAATTCTTAAGGAGACCTGGGCTAATAAACATAAAGGAAAGAAACTCGGGCATCTCTACAAGCTTGGTAATAATTTCAAAAGCTCTAGACAACTTACCTCTAGTGTATGGGTGAATTTAAAATTTTTGGAACCTAACCTAGAAGAAGGTAATTTGTGGTGTAAGTGTAAGAAAAATGGCCAGATTTATAGTGCGGATAACAAGTATAGTACTGGTAATTTGCTTCGACATTCATCTAATTGTAAGAAGAAGGTTAGTAGAGACGTTGGTCGGATGCTTTTGCAAGCTAATTCTGATGGTCTTAAAACTAAGAATAATCGTCCTACCTTTATTTATGAAGTTTTTCGTGAATTGCTTGTTGTTGCTATTGTCAAGCATGGGTTGCCCTTTCAATTTGCTGATTATGAAAGGATTAGGAATGTATCTACTTGCAACCTGATATGAAACTATTTTCTTGGAACACCTATAATTCCCCATATTTGTAGAGTATTTATACCATACAAAAATACAAATTTTGTAGTAAGTATTTATTCAAGAATTTACTAAATATCTTAAATGTATTATTTCAATATTAATTTATTATTACATAGATTTTATTATGTAGAATATATGTAGAATATTCTAAAATAATATCCTAAATAATTATGATGATCATTAAAGTTTAAGGAATAACATGACCATCTTATTTAGTGAATACTAGTTTAAGTCCTGTGCCATGCACGGTTTTTTACTAAATTTTATAATTAATGAATTATATTGCAACAATTATGTACCAAAAAAATATTACGAAGTATATTTTAAGGGAAACAAAATATCTAGAATTTTAATTTATACCCATGCCAAAGATGTCAATATTATTGATGCAAAAGACTTAATAAATAAAATAAAATAAAAGAAATTTATGGACTTTGAGGTTTTATATTAACCCTAATAAAAAATGAAAATTTTAGATTACTACCCATACGATACACATTCAAGGATATAACCTTCGTCCCTAATTTAATTTGTTATTAAGATACTTTGTTCAACACAATGTATTATGCAAATTTATTCAATTTTATTTTACTTTGTGATAGTTAATAAACGATATGATTGATATATTTACTATGTATATATTTTCTTATATTAGTTTATTTAACAATAATATTAGCCTAAAAAGCATAATTGACATGTTAGAACTTAAAAGGGGTGGAAGAGGGTGGAATGATGATATTTTGATCTCTCTTAATTATAAATAATACTTTGATAATAATAAAAATATGGGTTTATCCCAAATAAAGTGGAGTATCTACTAATTGAGATATTATAGCTTAGCTATTGGCATATACTCATAATGAATCACTCAATTGTTTTAATAAAGTAAGATTATGGGTCCCTTCAAAAAAAAAAAAAAAAAAGCACTGCGAAGATTTATGGGTATATGTTAGATTATCATTCTTTGATTTTATGGGTACATTTTAGATCATCATGCATCAATCATAAGATTTAATGATTTATATCCATAGTTAATCACGCATAATATGTAATAGAATCTTATGATTGATAATATTATGTAATAGAATCAATTACAGTAAGAAAAATAAGCAACACATTATACACTAACCAAAATATTACATCAATCCTTTCTCAAAAAAAAAAAAATAAAAAAATTGCGTCAATCAATATTTATAAATCCATAGTTAATCACGCATATTATGTAATAGAATCTTATTATGTAATAGAATCTTATGATTGATAATATCATGTAATAGAATTGTGCATATATAATATAATAATATAATAAAATATAATAATTAAATAAGGAAATAATGAAAGTGGCAGGAAAATAATTAATGACATTGTGACAAGTGTCATTTTAGGTTAGCTTTTAGTATAGGTTAATAGATTGTAGAAGAAATTATTAAATAAAGCAATATATATATTTTATTCTAGAAGATATTTTAAAATTTCCTAAAGCTTCTATTTTGAAAAAATTCTCACCGTAATTCATGCTCTTTTAATTTAGGGAAATTTTACATGCTGGCCTCCAGGTTTCAATTTTTCTACGTGGAAAACAAACTTTTTTCCAACTCTCTCAAGTGGCACTATGGTTTTGCAAAATTAAGTGTAGTGTCCTTTTTTTGATTTTATGGCTAACTTTTATAATTAAAATGGTTAACCTAAGGTTTTTTAGTTTAAAAATTAATTAAATTATATTTTAAAATAATAAAATTTAAAAAAAAGGAAATTTCACCAGCCACCACCACCATCCTGGAAGGCGGCAGCCTTCACCATTCCGACAGCCCAGCCCGCCCCCACCCCGACAACCCGTCCCCCTCCCCCTCCCCCCTACCCACTAAACCCACCACCTGAAACCCCCAAATACCTAACCCGAAACCTCAATAAACCCTCCCTTACCACGTTAAACCCCAAGATCGACCTTCTCCCACCCTCGAAACCTTGGGCGATGGAGTTTCGAGGGTGGGGAGGGCCTGATTTGGGGTTTAAAATGGTGGGAGAGGGTTTTTTTAGGGGTTTCGGGTTGGGGATAAGGGGTTTTCAGGTGGTGGGTTCAGTGGGTAGGGGGACGGGGTCGCCGGCTCCGGAAAAGGGTTTCTAGGCGCCGGCGGTATGTGGGGATTTCG